AGGGTTTCAGCAGGGCTCAGTTAGGTGTTACTGATGATGGTTCTGGGGGAGTTGTTGGAGATTTGGGCAACCGCTCAGGTTCTGTTCTTGCATGCTGTAGCAGTTTGGCAAGCAACGCCTTTTGAAACCCAAACGTTCTCGATTTTGTTGTTAAACAGCAGATATTTACAGATATTTACCTCCCTCGGTGGAAGTGTTGTGTAACGTTTTTGGACTTAAACAAATCCTTGCTTGCCGTGGGTTGGGCTGTGCTGCCCCACTGCTGCCCCACCCGGCAGCCACAGTGAAGGAGCAGAGTTGGACGTTCAGCTTTGTGCATTCTTTGCCCCAAATTTTTTGCTGAATTTCAGCAGCTGAAGCGTTGCCCACATTTCTGTTGTTGGAGGCAGAGCCAAACCGCCGCCTGCCGGAGTTTGGGATCCACACGGACTCTGTGAGCCCGCAGTGCAGCTTTGGGAGGTTGGCCAAACTCAATTCCACAGCAGTGGAACAACATGTGTGTTTGTGGGCAGGTTTTTAGTTGTGCTGTTATGGGGGCAACTGTTCTGTGCAGGACATGACTGATGTAAGACGTGGGTCTGTGCAGAGCTCAGGGTTTGTAGCCCGGTTCTGCGCCTCTCGTTTTTAATGGTCTTCCCAAAGACTTTTACTCGGTTCTTTGGTTGCTTTGCTGTTCTCTAACTACTGGAAGGTTTCCTACAGATGTTGTAACTTGGAATTCATTTTCTGTATCAGGAAACAATGGAAGTCTTACATGAAAGTGAGGTTACATCAAATGTTTTTGGGTTGTGTCTCAGGCGTAGGTGGGAAGTTTACATCGCTGCCATTCTTAGAAGTTTCCTTCTAAACTCACAGCCATCCCAAGGCCTGTCTGGAGGAGACAGGGAGGGGGAAGGAGCTGCTGCTTCCCAGGCAGCCTGCAGGAATGTGACCTTCCTTGTCGGTGTCCCCTCTGCTTCAATCAACCAAACATATCTGCAGGGGAAAAAACTTTGCATGGAGTGGAACGAGGCTGGGAGAGAGCATTGTGGAATGCGGTGCCCTCTGAATTAAAATGCTTCCACCAGCTTGGTGCATCATCAGTGTTTGCCGGCTTTCCTGCTCCTCACCTCGCTGAGTTTTGTTGGCCTTTCCCCCTCCCTTCGGGGGTCTCGTGGCTTCCTGTGCCCTTGGGCTGCATCTGCCCTGTTCTGAATCCTGCAGGCTGACGGCAGTGCTGGCTCAGCCCTGCGAGCTGCAGCTGTGGGGCAGGGCGGCTGTCCTCAGCCAGCAGTGGGGCTGTGCTGAGTGGGGCTGATCGCAGGAGCTGCTGCTACAGCCGGCATCACAACCGGAGAGCTCTGGAGAGCCCGGCGTCCTTCTGCTCTTGTCGCATTGTAGCATTGAGGGTGTTTGGCTTTTGGGTTTTTTTCCTGCCAAGTATGTTTCCAAATCTTGAGAGCTCAATCTGTCCCTTGTGAAAAATCACTGAATACATTGTGTCTGATGTGGAGACCCAGCAGAGCTCTGTTTGCTGCCACCCAGGGAAGTCACAGGTGGGTTTTTGTGGAAACAATATAGCACAACTTGTGCAGGATAGATGGACCCAGCGAATATCAACATCCATACGTGCAGAACGTAAAATAATTGCATCAATCCCTTCTGACTGAATACAGGTCACTTTTAGTTTCGTCTTATTCACATGCAATCTATTGGAAAATGAAGGCTCGGAAGTTGTTGGAAGAGGAAGATTTGGTTTGGTTTTGCTGTTGGGAAGAGGAAATGCTGACCGGATGAGAGGCACGGCGCTGGCAGTGAGGCACATCCTTGGCTGCGTGCAGTCGCTGCTCAGCTGGGGTCAGTGCAGCTCAGGTCGCTGTGTGCTCAGTGCTGCTGTGTGGGTCTGGCTGCTCCCACTGCACAGCGCAGCCGCGGTTCTGCTTCCTGACGGCGGTGGCTGAGGGGCGGCTCTGCTCATCCTGAGCTCCGTTCGTTTAGGTGGCGAATAACAGCCCTGCAGCTGTTTGTGGAGAACCACCTGTTGGCAGTGCTGGGACACCTCTGCTGTTGGGTGGGTTACCCAATGGCCAACCTGAGTTATTACTTCATAAAAGCGACTTCATAAAACTTCTGTTTGCGGTTTTATGGGCTTATTCTTTATATTTACATCCGGTACGAAGTGTCTGCAAATTGGCATTGGATCCACGCCTGTTCAGCCGCTTCTGAATTCTCCAATGATGTGTTATGTGGATAAACTATGATAGTTAAGTAGCCCAGAGATCTAAATTCACCTTCCTGGGTCACAGGAAATTTAAGATCCAGTTAAGAGAAGCAGAGGGGGTTGTTTGGGGAGTGGGGGTGGAACAGAAACTCGCTGTGATTTGCTGTTGCGTGCGTTAAAGTTTTATGGCCCATGTTGCATCCCCTGGGAGGATAAAGCGCAAGGAGCATGAACAAACCCATAAAGTTACGAAGGGTTTATGTGCTATAATTAATATGGAACTTTCTATGAACTTTATAATAGTTTTACTTTCTTAATTTCACATGAGTTTTTGGCTCGCTAATGAGTAATCTTGAACGCTGCTAATGGAACTGAAGGTTTGGAGTTTCGTGTGGAATTATAACGAGATCCATTACACTGAATTGAAGCAGCCTCCATGCCTGCCTTATTGTAATTTTCCGAGCCGGCTGTGCGTGCCCTGGGAAGCGTTCTTGAGCTGTGGCCAACTTTACACTAAAAAATAAATAAATACTGCATCGATAGAGCTTTACTGGCAAATCCTCCATGTGCGAGTGCAGCTTTGCTTGCAGAAGCACTTTTCGTCGGCGCTGGATGGTTTAGCAGATCACAATGTCGTAAGTCACATCTGTAGCAAAAATCATAGTAGGATGAAAGTTCAAGGTACAAATCTGGCCCGATTTCCACCATGAAGTCAAATAAGTGTTGTGAAATTACAGCTGATTTGTCTTTTTTTTTAGCTACAGAGGGAAATACAGTCCTAAGCAAATGTGGGATATTCCCTCTGGAATGGCCCAGTTGCTGTGCAGGTCAGAGCCGAGTGCTGACTCGTGGTGATTCGTATTCTTCAGCTTCATCAGAAGTATTTGGGCAATGGGGGGGTTCACCAACTCGAAAGGGTGGGTTTGTTTTGAACCCAACGTCTGTGACTTTTCTTCTTTGTTCCACTTCCCTACTGTGTTTTAGAGGGAAGTATTGTGGTGGTTGTGAGGAAACCGAGTAGCAAAGTGATGCCTGGAGGAATTTAACTCTTGCTATCTGTGGCAATGACACAGTTTGCCTCTGTGACCTCTGATGAAAACCCTCTGCAAGGAAGGGAGCCAAATATTGGGGTGGAGACCTGGTAAGGGTAAGGTCTGCCAACACTGGTGGGCACAGCAGAGGAGCAGCCTTTGTCCTCCGTGCCAAGCCTTGCCATTTTGTCTGCAGTCCTCCATTTGGAGGTGACAAAACAGGGTTCGAGGCATTCCTGGCAGAACACATCCGGCAGCGGTTGTGTTACATCTCCTGTGCTGTATCAGCAGCACTTCCAAGTGACACATTTCTGTATTCAAAGTCCAGATCACAAAATTACACTAGGAAGACACAGAACAACCATTTTCAGTGTGGGGTTATCCCGATTAATTCCACCGGATAGAAAGGGAGCTGTCAAAGCAAATATGCATGCAACACTTGGGGTGATCCACTCTCTTGCTTGGTCCTTGTAGCTGGGGGGCCATTTTTCAAGGTCAGACCTGTTTTAGGGATGATCAGATTTAGCATTCTTTCACATAATGTGATTACTGTGTGTCTTTCTGACCATGCAGCTTGAAGATTCTTTATCAGACAGACTCAGAGGTAAGGGAGGTGGCAGAGGTAGTGCTGGGAATGTTGTGGAGTGAAGAAATGCCATTATGAAACACGAAGAAGGGGGTGCGTGGAGGGCAGTCGCATTAGAGGATGAACCTTCCACTGCTGTCATGCGAAGGAGCGAGGTACTGACAGTAGGAGCTGAAGGTTTAAAGTCAGCAAGTTCTGAAAACTTCTACCAAAACATTTTAAGGGATCTCTCCATAGGCAATTTCTGGATTATTAATACTGATAACTGATGACAGTGGAAAAAAGTTAATAAAGCGAGCTGAATAATTGTAGGTCTGCCAGCCTTGCAAAATAATGGAATGAATGATACAGGACTTGACTGATATGGAGGTAAGGGGAAATAATACAATTAATGTCAATTAAAATGTGCCTATGGAAAATAAGCTGATGAGATGTAACTGGGGATGTGGTTTGGCTGATAAAAGCAATAATGTGTGATGTAAAATACTTTGCCTTCTTAATGAATTGAACGGAGTGCAAAGCGCTATTTTGAATGAGAAATGAGAAGGATGCAAAATCAGGAATGTTCAGCAGCTGCTGGCTGAGCTGGGAGGCGCGGGGAGGTGAGCAGTGCTGTGGGACCTTCATTGCAGGCCCATCCGTGGGCACTGCCTTCAGCCCCGCTGCCGTGCGCTGCGCTCCCATCGCTCCTGGCACACGGCGCTCGTAAATTAGAGAACAGCTCACGTTTATCATACACATCACTGCTTATCTTGTAAACTCATCTGCTGTGCTTGCACGAGTAGTTGATTTAACAGCATGTATATTGTTGAACTTGACACATCTAAGAGTATAATCAAGCTCTGAAAATACCGGGTGTGCTCAGCTCCGGGTTGTGCTCTTGCTCTGCGTTCTGAAATGATTGCTGCCTGGATTCCCTTTTGTTGGCTACAGGTCACGGCAAGTTGCTGTGCTGTACATCATTAGGAAGGAGTTTTATCATGATGCTGGCATCTGTTCAGTGACATAAAATGATGAGATGTGTAAAAGGAAGAAGTTGATTGTCTTTTTCCTATATATTTCCAAATGAGAGATTACGTTAATTTTGTAGGGTGAAATGCAAATCAGAAGATCCCTCCCGAGGGATTCTGGGCAGTGGTGAGCCAGAAGGGTGAGAATGGCAGAGGAAGGGAAGGAGGGGAGGCTTAAAGGAGCTGCTGGCCCTTGTATTGCAGCACGGCTGCGCTGCCCTGCTGCGGCTGTGCACACACCTCACTGCTGGACTCCTGTTCCCAGGTGCTGTGGGAGGCATGGCAGAGGCGTCCCAGTGTCGGTGCTCACCTCTGCCAGGCTGATGTCAGGGCTTTGGTGTTTTGGGTGCCTTTGCTTTTAAGGGACATCGGTGCACCTTCAGTCTGCATCTTCAGCAGCAAAAAAAGGATCATTTTGCATTCTTCAGTATTTATGCTATTGAGACACCTGGGCATCGTGAGGCAGGAAGGTTTTCATCCCTCTACCTCTCGTTTTGAGGAACTCTGTTTGCTTTCTGAGCTGTCATGGAAAGAAAAGTAACCTGTTTTCAAGCGGGTGCAGCACATCTTAGAGTTTTACAGAAACTAATAGACCTTGAGTTGCATTTCTGCTGCAGCTCATCAAAATTATAGCAGGTAGGGGAGCTCTGTGGTTATTTACTTGCAAATCTCATCTAGTGTGGACTTCGTTGATGCCTTTCCTGGCAGGTCATATCGCCGTGCTCACAGCTTCTGTAATGGTTCGTTACTACTGCTTGTAAAGAATTCTCTCAGGGGGAAACAGTGAGCTGAGATGGGCACAGGTAGGCACACGTCTGCTCGTGCACAAGTCCATAAAGCTGCTCTCAACTTTGCAGCCATAAGGATTAAATGGTATTTTTATTTCTGAGATAAAGGTGAATTCCAACAGGAAGCTGTGTGCTTACAGCTGCACATTGCTGCTCTTTGAGGACTGCAGCAGGGGAGTTCTGGGGCGGGTTGTGATTAGGGTCTGCTAACAGGAACCACAGGTTCTCTTCCATGCATATCACGTGTGTTCTCTTCTTTCCAGATGATCATGGGAACAGCAATGGCAGTCATGTAAAGATCTTTTTACCGAAGAAGTTGCTCGAATGTCTACCAAAATGCTCAAGTTTACCCAAGGAGAGGCACCGCTGGAACACTAATGAGGTAATTAACTCTGCTGTTCTCAAGCAGTCCCCTCTTTATCCTCACGGGTTGTTTTTTGACAACGTGCTGCATAAGTTACAGAATCTGAATTCAGTTGCTCTGAACCATGTTGTTTAAATAATCAAATCATATTAAATGTTGAAAACGGGCTTTAAACTAGGCTTGAAGGCAAACCGGAAGCTGATCAGTGGTACGGCAGGAGTCGTTACTCGTGTGTGTGTCACCTGTCTGAGCCAAATTTTGTGTCATCTTAGGGACGTGTTTCAAGATTGTTTAAAATTTGATGCTCAGGTGCAGTGTTAAACAGTGCTGCCTTGCAGTTGGGAATGTGTGCAGGCTTTTTTACAAAGAAAAACACACACAAAATAACAAAACCCAAGACAGTGCACATTCTTTCTTGCAAAGCAGGATTCTGAGGAATACGTTGCCTGCAGTTTGAGAAATCAGACATTTTATACTGGAATCCAGTTACTTTGAATGCGTTAGTTTGCATATCTCCTGCTAGCCAGCACATTTGTGTTCACTGAAATGAAGTCACTGCTTAAGATCCAGGTGCCTGGTGGTCGAAGGTAAGGGTAGGCAGGCCAAATATGTCTGTGATCCCTTGCCTTTATTCCCCTGGGTTGGAAGGTGGAAGGGTCAGATGGGTCACAGGAGAGTTCAGCATCCTGCACAGGAGGAGGTAAAATGTAAAATGCTTGTCAGCATATTGTTGGTGTAGGCTTGTCTCATGCCTTAATTCTAGATGGGTTGTTTGCTAGTAATCGTAAATAATCAACTAGCACATTAAAAAAAAATAGTGCTTTTAAGCATCAGGTTTGTCACTCATTTATAGCTCTTACTTCTAAAATCTGGGAGCTGGCCTTGTGCTTGGGTCAGTGCTGCTGGTGGCCCTTCCAGCACGTGCTGCACGTTGATGGTGTTTTTCCCACTGCATTACTGAAAACAGAGAGCTTTCATCGTGGTCAGAGATTTTTGGCCTTATTAGGGCAGAGCAAAACAGCAGAATCGTATGCCTGCAGAAAGCCTTGGACAGTTTGTGTTAGGTATATGGGAAAGGTAACGTAGCTTAGAGATTTTGTTGTCCCCCACCTGGGAGTTTGAAATGCTCAGTGTTATAGAAGTTGAATTTTCATAGGGTATAACCAAATAATAATGCTGGACTGCGTTTCGTGGTTGATTCCTGAGGGAACACATTTCTCATCTGACTGCACAGGTGTTCTCAGTTGTTCTCAGTGTGCTGGGGAGGGCACAAGTTTTGAAACATTGAAGGAAAAAGCGTGTTTTGTAGAAATGGTACTTAGAGATTCCTTGTGTTAATTTCAACACCACCGGTGCCCCTTGCAAGGTCTCTCCCAGATAGTAAGGGTCATGGAATCATAGGATGTCCCATGTTGGAAGGGACCTCTGGGGACCATCAAGTCCAACTGCTGGCTGTGCACAGGACTACGTGAGGACCAGCTGTCTGGGAGCGTTGTCTGAGCACTCTGAGCTCTGGAGGCCGTGGGGCTGCCAGGGCTCCTTCCCTGTGCTTGCTGTGCTGCGTTCCGTGGCAGTGTTTCAAGGAGCTCCAAGCACAGCCTGTATATGGGCTGTGTTCCTTAACATGCTGCTCAGAGGGCACGTGTTGCACGTTAACCTGCCGGCCTGGGCTCTGCTGATGGCTTTTGTTACATCTGCAAATGAGATGCTGCAAACGCTCTGCGCAGAGGTCAGGGAGCAGCTGGGGTTTGTTCTTTCCTCCACCAGGGCATCACCATGGGAACGCAGGCAAATAACTTTTTCTGAGCACTTTCATCTGTAGATTGAGGATAATGGTCGTGTGTTGCTCTGGGTTGGGTAATTAGGGCGGAGGAACAATATCCTCTGAGAAGTGGGAACGTTGTGGTTGACTTCACGCTTAGCCAAATAATGCGGTGAGCAGCAAGAGAAATGGAGCATTTACAACCACTTAACGCTTAGAACATGTTATGGAGATGTTTGCTTTGAGTCCGATTATGCAGTTTTAACTAAAATGTTTGATGGAAATATGTTTCCATATCGAAATGTCATCTCTTCTTAAATCAAGTTCATGGTGTTTTTATATTTTGCAGAGAAGGAAGTGTTCCTTCCAATTTAATTTTTTTCCCCGCGATGCACAATCATCAGTCTAGCCAAGTCGTTTAATTATAGATTGAGATTTTTTGAGATGCCTGTGGAAGTTGCGAGCTTCTATTTATTTTGCTCAGGAGAATAGAGAGGGATCTTCGTGCGGTTCCTCACGCAGTCGTTAATCGCCAGAACATTCTGTGGATCCGAGCGCTTGTGAGCGCAGCGCTGGGCTCTGCTCACGGCCGGCGGGGAGCTGCTGCACAGCCCTGGTCCCAGCGGAGGAGCAGGCCTTCCCCACGCGACTGCAGGGCCGCCTGCTGCTGGCTCTTGTCTGCGCTTTGTCCCCTAATGGAGACGGCAGAGGTCGCGGGCTCATTAGCCGGTAATCGCTTTAGGCAGCGAGAAATGTTGTCTGCAGGAAATTCATCCTGCTTCTTCGTGTACAATGATCAGATTATCGAGGCACCGGGAGCTTCCCCGCCGCTGCGCTGTCTCGGAGCGCAGATAGGTGCGGGGCCGGGGCTGTTGGTGTAACCTTGCCTTCGTGCCGCGCCTGCCAAGCACGGATTGCAGTTGTGAGCAGAGATGCCATTCATTAACGGGGTTGGCAGCCGCAGCCATTAATCATCCTCGTAAACACTTAATGGCACAGTCAAAGAAAGACGAAAAAGTTAAGCACCCAAAATATAAAATATGACTTAGCACTTTTGTTTCTGGCCGCATCCTGTGTTTATGTTCTCTGAAGGGACATGCTGGAGCTGCCGTGATACACAGCATGCTGCTATAGCTGCCAGGTGTTTGTAGGCTTGGCTTGAGGGGTCAAGCAAGAAATGGCAGTTTTTCCTATAGAATAACTAAGATCAGTTTTTTCATTGAGTTTTCTATAAGTTTTGTACTTAGTTTTTGCATGGTAACGTGCAAACAAGTGCAGTTGCAAAACTCAATTTGAGCATTCTTTAGAGCAGTGATTCTTTAACATGTAAAGAAGAGCAGAGCCGTGCCTTAGCATAGCTCTTGTGCTGTGGGACATCCGTGTTCCTGCAGTGGCAGTGCTTGCTGCAGCCCCATGTTTGCATGCATTTGTTTCAGCCTTTAAGAGCAGCATTCCGGGTTTCCCCTGCTGAGTCTGCCTGCTGCTGCTGTGGGAAGTCGAGGCGCAGCGCCGCGTTCGTGGACTTCAGTTGCACACCCATTTATGTCTCTGGTTGTGTCTTGCACTTTTGCTTTGCTTGCAGGTTGGTGATATTCTTCCTTTCCAGTTGACATTGAGGTATTTCCCATCTCCTCAGAGATGTAGAAGGCTTTGGGAGTTGTCTGAGGGCCGTAAGGGACCCAGCTGGTGGGGCTGGGAGCTGGGAGCCCCAGGAGGCGGCACCGGGCACTGAGCGCTGCTGGCTGCGTGCTGCCCGAGCAGCGGGGCGCCGCTTCTGTGGGTGCTTTTCTCATGCTTTGAGGTGCATTTTAGAATTGACGCTCCTTCATTTTCTCTCATTTTCCTATAGAACACCTGTAGCTTTCAGGCTTTGCTGGGTAGCCTGATGTGCTGTAGTACTTTGCTACGTTTGCATGCTTGCGCTGCACGCATCGTGGTGGTTTGAGGCTGAACAGTGAAAGAGATGGAAATGTGTTTAACAGAAGCACTTCATTATGGGTTTATTTTGTGAAATTAATGAAATTCTGTGCTTTGCCTAATGTACAAAGCAGAAAATGTGCTATTGGCTTTGCTTTTGCAGTTTCTCAGTCATGTTTACATAATTAGTGAATGTTGTGTGCAGGCTCCGTGATTGAGCAGAACTGAAAGGTTATCATTCCTGGCAACTGCAGCAAAAGCCCATTAATACCTGCTGTAACACTTGTGGGCTGGTGGAGAAAGATCCTTTGGCTTCCTCTGAGGAAGAGCTGCCTTACTTTCCCTTCCCTTTTGTTAAATGCTAGAGCCAACTTTGTAACTGTGTGTGTTAAGTCTTCAGGAATGGCTGATTTTGCAGTTCTGTGCCATTAACATCTTGGAGTCCTGCTACCAAACTGAGTCCTGCAAAGCAAAGCAAATGGATGGAGATGTATTGTTTTGGGCAACGCGTTGCCCTCCTGTTTTTATTCCAGGCGAGCCTGTCTTTCTTGCATTAGTTGATAGCTAAATGAAAAACAAAATCTTCATTAGTGTGAGCTTATTCTAGCTCAAGCCAATACCATTCTAGCATTTATTTCTGTTTTTTGCACTGCAAGGAAAGTGCATAACTCTGCAGCCCTGCAGGAGAAGGTGCCACGTGTGGAGGGCAGCTCGGCAGCCCCAGCTCAGCCGTGGTCCTGCTGCGATGTCTGTTGCTGCAGAGAAAAAAGGGAAAGCTGCCTTCCAGGCATGAGGGTTCTCCCTTTAAAGACTATTTTAAGGGTTTCCCATGTTGGCAGAGGTGCCTGAAACCATTTAAGATGACTCTGTTTTAGATCTATGGGGACGCTCGTGTCTGCGCGTTAAAGCTTCTTTCAAAAATACATATCTATTGGTAGGGTAGGTGCAAACCTTTTAATATCAGGGCTATAAAGCTTCTAGAAGCTGCAGGGAGGAAGGAGGATGTTTCTGAGGATCCAACTGTTTGCCCAGGAAGGCTGCAGGAATTACAGGAAGCTTTCTTTGCATTTAAAACAGCTCCCCTACCTCTTTGGAGTGGCTCACCGATGCCTGCTGTGTGGGTACGCTCCTGCTCCGGGCTCAGCTCACCCCACTTGTGTTGGCTTGGCTCCCTCTGTGCCCTGCTGATGCTATGCTGGGTTACCAGAGATGTGCCCTGCCACAAAGTGCAGCCTGGTGCTGCCAGCTGGGTCTGGAGGTGTGATGCTGGGAGGCAGTGATGGGAGCACGACCAAACAACAGCATAGACTTTGTTTGTGGGGGGAAATAAGGCAAAAAG